TAACGCACTGTGTACCACAGGGATCTGTGTGCCCGTGTCAGCAGATGACAATACAATGCCGCACAGCCATCCGTATCGATCGTGTAAGCATCATCTAACAGCAATTCTTGTTATCAGCAGTGATAGCCAATTTCAGTAACATATCAAACACGTTACATCGCTAATTACGGATGGTCGTTTTTTGCTTTTGTGCTGTGTTTAAAACAAAACAAACGAACTCATCTGATATTTTAAAAGCAGATAATTTAAAACACTTACTGTAGCATCTTCAATGCTTCCTTTTTTCAGCATGATATCAAGGCCTTCCTCTGTTGTTACCATTGGGAAGTTTTCGCTCTTTTGAGAGAATTTTCTTTTCCTAGGCTGAGGAACTGTACTGGTCTGATGCAGTGAACTGTAGGAAGGTGAACAATCTGGAAACACTTCTCCCAGTGCCTTGCTGAAAGCCTGAATGTTATTCTGTGAAATATCCACGAGATGAACCTCTTTTAAGCTGCTGTCTCCCATGGATTCTTCCAAGGTCTCCTTGATGGAAGATACAATCGAATATGTACACAGTTCCAGTGGGAAACCAAAAATCCCTCCGCTTATAGCGGGCAGAGCTATGGAACGATAATTGTACGTTTCAGCTAGCTGCACGCTTTTCTTGACCGTCCTTCTTAACAAGCGCACGCATTCTTCTGCCTCATCCTTCCTCCACCTGGGCCCAACAGCATGGATGACGTTCTTGCAGGGGAGTTTCCCGGCGCCCGTGATAACCGCACACCCAGGCTGCAAACTCCCGTGCTTCCTCACCAGCTCCTCACACTCCTGTTGCAGCTCTGGGCCAGCTGCTTTCAGCAGCGCATCAGCAAGGCCACCGATGTGCCGTAAGTCTTCGTTAGACGCGTTCACCACAACATCAACCGGGTAATTACACAAGTCAGCTTTATAAACCGCTATTACAATCCCACCTATGGTCACCTGCCTATAGGGCTTGCCTGTGTTACTATGTTCTTGCTGTTCTTCCAGCTCTTCTTCTGATGGGTCCTCCAGCCTGACTAGACAACTGAAGTCTTGTTTCACGCTGGCAGCAAAAAAGTGTTCTCGCTCTTTGAAATATGACTTGGCTCCTGGCTCTCTAATTACCACACGCTTATGATGCAGGCCAGACAGAGTTTGCTCAACTAAGGTGACTCCCTTCAGCACTTGCCTCCTTGGCCCACTCAAGGATATAACTCTACATTTCCTCTGTGTGCTAAAGTCAACTTTCACACCTTTATTCTGTAAGTCACCCCAAACATTGGTCTTCTCTTTCTCAAAAAACATTATGACCACCATAGGCTTTTCTCCGATGACCTTTTGCACTTGCGTGTTCTCATCTACAAAATCAAAAAGTTCCTCAAAGGCTTTTTCTACTGCTTGAGAAAAACCAGCAATGATGACCTGACTCTCTGCCTGAGTGACTGTTACAGCTTCATTAGAGCAGTTTCGCTTGGTGAGCAACGTCCATTCCCTCTTCTGGAGGATTGACTCATCCTCCAAAGTAATGCTCTTGTAGTTCAGTTCTTTCTTTATTTCTTCTTCTGCTTTTAGGAGATCTTCAGGTGCACTCCCTTTCAAGATGATAGCGTCTGTGCCAAGCTCATAAAAGGCACTAATTTGTTTTGACATAAACAGGCTCTGTGACAGGGTTTCATTATCAATATGCTCTAAAAAATGGAAAATGAAAGGGTGTATACTAACTGTTTTCTTTGCCATTTTGTGTATATTATCTAGTATTTCCCCTTTTACTTTATAAACTTCCTCAGGCACTCCACATAGGCTAACTACCTTCAGCAAATGATCGTAAGTTATCTGCAGGGCTGGGAACTCCGTACGAATTTTTTCCTCAAGACCAGTACTCTGTAAAATTGCATATTCCCCTGAACCCATTACCATCATTTCCTCAGTTCTTTGCTTTTCTCTTTCAATTTCTCTGGTGGCCTTTTCTATCAGAAACTTCAGTTCTTGTTCAACATTCTTCACGACTTCTTTTTCGCCTACTAGAACAAGTAAATCCTTGGAAATATCTGGGATTATCAGAACTTCATTGTGGGTAAAGTTGTTTCTGATGGTTTCCCACACCTCTGCACTTACTTGACATTTAATTGCTTTGTACTTCGATACGCTATGTGAAAATGCCGTGGAAACATTTTCATTCCATGTCTTGATCAATCGAGATACTAATCTCTTCTGCTGAGACAAAGCAGCTGAAGGATGCAAAGTAACTTTTGGATCTGCACAGCTGGGTTCAGGCCATGTTAGCTCACAATTGCACTTTGCCATTTCGCAACTTATTGCCTCAATTAGCCTAGCATTTCTCTGCAAGTAACTCCAGATATACGGATCCAGAGGCACTGTAATTGGATCCGGCTTCTTTATTTGTGGCCCTTGCTTTCCATATAGAGCTGTTCCCAGTGAGATGTAGTATGGATAGACAGAGACTGGTGTTTTGTTGAAGGAATGCTGCTTTGCCAAGATATTGGTTACATCTAAAACAAACAAATCAAAACCCAAACAATTAATGCTAGCACTTAAAACCAAAGGTCTTCTGTTTTTTTTTTAAAAAAAAACCCTTGTTTTCCACATAATAAAGTTTGTTATGTCTAAGAATAGTTTTGCATTCATTTTCCTGCCTTCCCAGATAGAAATAATTCCAAATTACTGAAGAGTTACTGGTTTTAAAAGCCAAAAACTAAGCTGGAGAGAGACAGTTAAGAACCAACACTGTCCATCTTCAGAAGGACGTATGCACAGCACTGTCTCTGCCTCCGCTTCCGTTACCTGCTATACCTGAAGTGCCCAACTCAGTAATTGTCTCGGCTATTACTCAGCAGTATCAAATCACAGCACCTCTGTTTCCCCCCAAAAGACCATCTATTTTCTTCAACTTCCCTTCAGCTCTCCCCTTCACTGCAATGCCTCCAGCTTCCCCCTTGTCCTCCATCTTCCACAGATGCTCATGTCTCTGTCACTGGCTGGACAAGCCACAGCACCTGCTCTCCAGCCAAAAAGCTGTCCAAAAAATTGTCCTCAGACCAGCCAGACAGCACGCATGGTCACATGGTGGTGAAAGCAGGGTGGAAGAAACCTCCTGCACTACATGGGGCTGCGCTTTCTCTATTGAACTCAAACTGTAACCTGAACTCTGTAAGGATCAAGGCCTGGGTGAAAAAAGAACTGTGCATAAAAAGGAAAAAATTCTTTGCCTTATGCCCAGCTGGTCCAAAACTTAAACTTGCACTCCAGTTAGCACAGACATGATGACAAAGCACCAGATCTGCTGTTTTATGAAGGTAAAGTAACCATTTCTCTAGAAAAATCCACATTTTGATCTTTAAGTGAAAGGATCTCAGAGAAATAGAGGCTTCGTATTTCTGCATTACCTTTATGGTCACTGAATGTAACGATAGCTGCATCTTCATCAGGCAGCTGCTCAACATTCACCACTTGTGCACCTCCGTTCTTCTTGTTTTCAAAGTAGATGGTTATATAGTCATTAGGTGTGTTGGGTGGTATATTTTCAGCCCTAATGCTTCTTGTTAGCTCAAGGCACCGTGCAGTAATATTTTGTTGCTTTGCTCTGTGGTTTTGATTAAGCTTTTTAGCAAATTCCCCTGCAACTAGAAAGAGAAGGGAGAAGAAAAAAGGAAAAACAAAAAAACAAGATCAAACTAGAAGCTCGCTTTTCTACTATGATGTTAGCAGACTATCACTGTGTGCATTGACCAAAGCACAGAATTACAAAGCATTTGTCAACTCAGAGGTGCCCACAAAGCTACTTCTTGCCACGCATTCAGTATCTGTCACCTAGTATTCGCCACATGGTTGATCACAGTTGTTGATCACAAATACTGTAGTCAGAATTCCTCACTAGTTTTCCTACCGAGTTGCATTGGGTCTCTTTAACCCCAAAAGAAATTAAAATCAGGTTTATTTTTGGGCTATGGCTCTATACACGACTAATCAGACATAAGTCAACAGTTCAAATTTGGATTCTTTCAGTTTTATAACAAACACATTCTATTTTTGGCTATTTTCCCTCCCGTTATCATCACGGTAAAAGATAGTCAAGTCACTTTTACGTCTGTCAGGCAAATACATGATTAAGTTTTCAAAGCATCTGCTTATTTCTGAAAGGCTACACCAAAAATTTGGGACTGGACCATGACATGAGAGGCAAATGATTTCTGACTTCTAAAGCAGAAAACTCCATGCCTTCTCAGAGACTAAAAACTTCTTTAGTTTAGTGATACCACTGACTAATCCCTTCACAAGTTTAAGATTTCTGAGTAACTTCATTCTTACATATTACCAATAATACAACTACTCTCACAAAGTTCACCATGTTCCACCTTCTAAAGAGATTTTTAGATAATTTTTCCACACAGAAGACAGGATTCTCTCTTCTTTCCTGTCCCACCTCCTCACCCAGAACCAAGCACACTTAAAATCACCTTGTCCCTAAAAAAGACTCAAGCGCAGCAGCACTCAAAGAATACTGGGACCAGTTCACTGCTGTCAGTTTAATTCAGTTCTCCTGGTAATGCAGTGCTGTTATGCCTATAACATCAGCTATAGCACTGGCTTACGCTGTTTCTGAATCTGATCTTATCATACCACTTACTGTCATCCATGTCCTGGGATGGAATTTGTTAACAATATCAACTGTAAGTCAACCAGGAAGCCCTCCCAACCTCTCACTGGTGAGAAGCAGGAGCAGACACCTCTCCATCACCTGGAAGATGCCTTTGTCCTCCATCAGTAATAAGGCACAAGACACACACTAAAAAAACCACAGTGGGCACACAGTAGCTAAACAACTAGTTGGTGCTGGAGCATCAGGCGAAACATACAGTGTTAATTCCATGCTTCACATAACTGACAGCTGCCACTCTGCGTAAGGACAGCTGGATTTGCCTCAGCATCCCAGGCTCCATCCAGCCCAGTATCCTGTCTCCAGCAATGGCCACAGCAGGTACCTAGAGAACAGCTGTGAGAAGACGTTGACTCCCTAATCTTCTCCCAGCCTCCATCTATTTTTTAGTACAGTAGATTTTCCAAGCCTGATGCAGTCTATCCAATAACCTTAAAAAGCTCTGTTCCATGCACTTCTTCAATTTTCCCTCAGATTTGTACAAACTTACTAGACATGTAACATCTTTTGGCATCAATCCATTTAAGACAGCATACATCCTCTTGTTGCTTGTAGGAGGTTACAGTTTGTTTTCAGACTTACCTGTTCTGTTAACTATCCAAATCAGAGCTAGCCCTCTTCTGACTTACCTTTTATCTGTAAGGTGTAGAGGCCAATGCATGTCATTAACATGTCATACAGTACAGTAAATTCTCATTTAAAATGACGCAGTCTCAGATTAAGCCTTAAACTTATGACAGAAAGCATTCTCTTCCCCCCTTAGTCTCCCTCACACACACAAGTAGCTAATAAAAGATCTGCAACTCTGACTCCTCCTTACCAGTATTTCCAGTAAAAGTAACTGCAGCAGCATGTATTTCAGGTATCATTTCCACGCTGAAGTCACCATCATCCTCTGACAGGCCACTGATGTTCTCTACCAGCATAATTAACATGCAATCTTTTACTGCCTCCTGCACATTTTCAAGCACAACTACAGTGGAAGACAGGGATCCTTGAGAGTCCTCCACTTGCCATGGCCTCACGAGCAGATCAATTTTCTTCACTGAGTGATGCTTCCTTCGCAAAACTTCTTGGGCATCTAGTTCCACAGGAAAACAATCAAAGATGTGATCTTCCCTTCCTCCCCCACCTCAGCAGACCAATATGTTAAATTACACTCTACTTTAAAAATCTGGCCATATGTTCTCATATCACACAAGAAACAGAAGTAAGGCAAAACTAAATCAAAAGTTAGGGTCTGGATAAAAGCTACTCTGTGATTTAGATGTGCCCAGTCTCCCTAAAGGAAAAAAAAATATTACTTTTTCAGTTAAGGGCTACCTCCTTTCTACTACACTCAAGAGTAAGAAACTCTTCTCCAGATTAGTAACACTTAATGAATAATAAAGAAAGGAAGAGTTTTCCATCCTACTTATCTTTGCATTTAACAGATATTTAACTATTAACATGGAACTATATTAAATATAAATATTAAACTATGTTTCCTGCATAAACAGTTTCCTCTTTTTGTGTACATCCTTCACACACCACCAAGAAGCCAACAGCACTCTAGTGCAGAGGACAACATAAGAAAACTACAGATAAATTGAGGCTACTTTAAAACCATTTTCTCCAAAGAAGTGAGTGAACGCATCTCTCTTATCTCTTACTACCTCTTACTATCTCATCTCTTATCTCTTACTACCTCTTTTCCTCTCAACCTCCAAAACCCTGGCAATTGAAATGAATATGAAAGAAAATCCAACAAAATAGTATTTACCCATGATCTGCAGTTAATACTGTGCTACACTTTACCCAGTCCACTGAACTAGAATTAAAGCTTACTTATTCTGCAGTGCTCCTGACACCATTTTTCCCGTATTATTCTCTGTGAGCTGGGATCAAGCATTTAGGAGAGGTCTAGAGAACCACTTCCTTCCCTGTGGGTTATTATAAACACTGTCAGAAACCCACATCTGCATTGAATAGACAGGTATATTTGCTCCTTTTATATCTGTCATTCTCTGGGAATAATACATCATTTTTGGTGGAAAAATACCCACAAAGAGATCCAGCACCAGCAAAGGTCTATTTTTAAAAGGGAGCTTTAGTAATATAACACCCAAAAGATCATACCTTCCTCATCCTGAAAGGTGAGGATCACTTGCTGATCCTTTCTGAGGTAGGACTCGATGGCCCCGCCACCAGATCTCTTTTTATTTTCAAAGTACATTTCCACAATTTCATCTTCTATTTCCTCCCCAGCGGCAGTTACTACTATGACAGACTTCCTAGAGGCTGCATTTTCTGCTTCCAATTTCTCACATGATTCTGAAATGACAGATCACACCCTAATGTCTTAGGCAAGAGTTAAGGAAAAAAAACGAGCTTATTATCTTCAAAGCTTTCACATCACTTTGTTTAGATCACAGGTAATACCAGGATAAAGAACAGGCAAATAAACAGTAATTCAGGTGTGGTTTGTTCTTTTTTTTTTTTTTTTTCACAACAGCCTTTAAATCCCAAACAAGCTGAGCATATCACTAGCATTGAGTTGTCACATCAACAGGTGAGAGGAAAAGGCTTCCATTCATCACCAGGCAAGGGCAGCAGAAGTAATGGCTAGGAAAGCTTCTTTGCAAGTTCATGATAAGGGGAATCATCACTGTTTTGTCTATGCACTCTCTCCATATACAGTTCCAGCCACTGCTGTGAGTCAACATGGGTCTACACGCGCTGGCTGCCACAGGAGCTCAGGTGCACCCGGGATACACCGCTACTGATGTTCTATCACAAGTCACCCCCGCAGGGCTGGTGGCATCTGGGAAGGTCTGGGTAGGGACAGCCTTACCCAGAACAAAGGTCAGCATCCACTGCACACTCACTTTAAGGAACTGACCTGTCTGAGGCGGCCAGTGAAGTGGGGAGTTTCCTAAACGGACTCATACAAAGAAAAAAATATGTCTTTATTTTTGCCTGAGACCATGATTTCTACACTACATTAGACAAACACCACAAGCCACCCAGGTCACCAGGGCACCACTGCAGCATAAAGGTCAATGAAAACCAATGAAGCAAGAATACACTGGTCTCTGCTTGGTAAGTGGCATGCTTACCTGTCTTCTCCTGCTGAGCACACACAGAAGTCTCCTTATTCTGGCAGGTGGGAAGAGACAGCTGGGGTTCATTAACTAGAGATAAACGACAGTGATTTCTCAGTTGCTGAGTACTTCAACAAGAAAAAAGTCACGCTGTTGTAGACCCAGGAACTAATACAGCTTGAATTAAGTTTCATCTGACACTACCAGAACCACAGACTTCCATATATTTCTTTCTTTAATCCATATGTTGAATGTGGTTACAGAAACACTCTTTAAGCTCAAGAAGCCTCAGGCATAACTTTAAAAAACAAACTAGCACACAGTCATGCTGTGTGAACCACTGCAAGCAGGTCCTCCCGTGCATTACAGCGCTATCCTCAAACAAAAACTGTGCCATCGAACAAGAGCTCTGTGGAAGACATCCCTCCTCTGGAGGGAACTGCCTTTAGAAACCAGGCACCTCTGTAAAAGCATCATCTATCATGACGTACTCTGACTGCATGACATCTCTAGCCGTTCGTTTAAAACAATAAGAAACGCGGCTAAATTGGAAAAAAAAAAAAGATAACGGTAATATCTGCCAGACTGCTTTTCTAGTCTGCGCCCTCGAGTTTCACCTCTGCGCTGCCCTTGTTTGCAGAAACCAGCAATCTGTACGTAGAGACAAGCGTGCTGCGTGTGATGAGCAAACTCTGGCCCGCAGCGAGAACACGCGCGGCGCCGGCGTTCGGCTGGAACCGCAACGAAACCGCAGGGGAAGTCAGGGCGTTCGGGCTTTATGCTTGCCTTGGAGCTTACTTAAGGGCTGCGCTTTATGAATCAGACTAATTTTGTGGTTTTAAACAACAAAGGAGAGTGCTGGAGGGGGGAAAAACCGGCAAAGGAGCGAGCGCAGCCGAAGGCAGCCCG